ACGTTCTAGGAGCAATTATAATCCGGCTTATTAAGTAAGATAAATATACAACCTAGACTAGCTTCTAAGTAGTACCTAGTCTTTTTGGTAGTACTATCACTAACGTAGCCATAAGAGAGACTACTAAGAGAATATATAAATTAATTATAAACCAGCTACCTTAGAGTATATAAACCGCACTACTAGTAGTAGTATATGTGCCAAATGGCGGATGGGCTATAGGGACTATATGGTATGGCACCAATATAGTATTTTAGACTTTTGCCTTAAGTAGTACAACTTTCTAGAATTCTATTCCTAGTGGTGGGCAGAAGTTATAGGATTAGGTAGAAAATATATATCTATGGCATACTAAGGCTATCATAGTATCATTATTAGAGAAAGTAGTTAGAAGTAATATTAAAGATGGAAAATGGCTAGAGGGGACAAAACTATTTATATATAGTAGGGAGAGAGGAGGTGTAGTAGGTCTAAAGGCTATCTATCTTCCTGGGTAGTTATTAGTAATAGTTAGTTGCGGCGAATGGTTAGAAAGATTAGGTATTAATGTTATTTATAGGGAGTAGCGCCCCTATCTATTATAAGGTTAATAGGATTCTAAGTAAAATAGTAATAAGAGGATATATATTCTAATAGTAATACTATCTCTAAATCTAAAACTTTTAGCGTCTAGCTACTCTAGCCACCAACATCCCCTCTCTATAATTTTATAGTAAACACGGGTGCCTACCCTATAGGATCTAAACCAGGTGGCCACCTAGACGCTAAGAATAATTTAGGACTAGGGATACTAGACCTCTTTTAAATCGTTTAGGTAAGTACCTGGACGAATATTAGTAGGCACCTAGGTAAGCTTTAGAATAGGTAATAGCACCACCATAAATACAATCTCTAATAAAAAAAAAAAAAGCTAGAGTACCTAGTAGGTTACACTATACATCTAGTTTAATTCATATTACTAAAATAGGATTATTATGGGTACCAGACGTTGTGTGTCTTATTAGGCTAATAACTAGGTAGAACGAACACTACTATCTAATAGAATTAAATAACTAAGGTAAGGTAAGCTAGTATAACCACGAAGCCGGTATAGGGCTAGGAGATATACTAACGTACTTATTATTACTATCCCTAGTACCTATAGCCGTGTCGTCCTCCTCTAACCCCTCGTCTTTACTATCTCGGATCTCATCCATCTTATAGATAGTAGCCAATACCTACGCCTTAATACTAAGCCTCTCTTTTCCGCTAATGGGCCCGTTAGTAATCCCCTCTAGCCCTAGCCAGCTCTCTAGCACCTTACTAGTACTATAGATATCCTACCACTTCTTCTTAACCAGCTCCATCCAAACG